TGCACACACACACACACACCACTCGCACATAAACACAGTGAGAGGGAGAGAGGTTGGAGATCGCAGATTTCGCTGCACACACACAGAAACTTATTGTCGGTGCATTAACTAATAAAATAGCATAGATACTAGATCGCTACATTATATTCCTCAGCAGCGAGGTAAAATCGAAGTAACTAAACAGCTTCATTGTTTGTAGAGAGAGACGCGCTGACACAGGTCACACACACAACTGTCATCTCTCTATCTCTCTCGATACATCGATCGATAATTAATTCAAATAAATGCTATAGTTCATTCAAACAAATGTGGTCTTACCGCACTATTTCATCTCTGTGTCTGATTTATAGCAGGCAGAATGCTAGAGCTAACGAGCCGTAACTGACGAAAATAACCGTAATTTTTACTCTTCCGGTTAAATATTGCGCTGTTAACATCATAAACAGCTTTAAGTTGTCAATACTGGCAAATGACCATGGAATAAGCGGGATAATAAATGGCTTGCCGTGCATTAAAGGATTTTAAATGCACTCCGCTTCACGTCGGGTGGTTCTTGGCCTCCACGTCGTGCAATTAAAATCCTTTAATGCACGGCAAACCGTTGATTATACCTTACATATAAAATGAAATATATATACTGAACAAAAATATAAACGCAACACTTTTGTTTTTGCCCCCATTTTTCATGAGCTGAACTCAAAGAACTAAGACTTTTTCTATGTACACAAAAGGCCTATTTCTCTCAAATATTGTTCACAAATCTGTCTAAATCTGTGTTAGTGAGCACTTCTCCTTTGCCGAGATAATCCATCCACCTCACAGGTGTGGCATATCAAGATGCTATCATAATATACAGGTATTACATTTATACTAAATACACATATATATGACATTTTATTTATAGTAGTATAATATAAATCATTATGACTTCATTTTCTTTTTTTTTTGGAGATAAATATTATACCTAATATCATATTTTATTGAAAAATGTATATATGTGTGTATATATATATATATAGCATGTTAATTAAAATATATATAAAATGAGAAATATATTAAATGATATATTTAATGCTTAATTTATATGAATCATTATATATTATATTTATACTATAATTACACATTGTTATAATTACATATAATATTTATATTTATACTATACATTATATTTTTTAATATTATACTTATATTAATCATTATATATTATATTATGTTCGAAGGCTGTAAATCAATGAAAAACATTTAATCAAATTACAAGATGTGCTCATTAACAGATCAAATTACATTACAAATAAAAGCACATGTCAATATTTTCTGGTAAAATCCATAAATGTAAAATATTGTGGCAGACGAGTGATTGAATAGACGTAGACTGTATATCATCTAGATTAGTCAATATATAGTTTGTTTTATTTCATATCAATGAACAAAAGTTCATCATTGGCCTACAGTCCACAACAATGCAAATGTAAGTTTTATATTGTCTCCTGGCACTTTTTAAATGATTCATGAGAAAGTGAAGTGGACACATCATGCCACGAGTCATTGAAAAGTAATAATTATCTCCCATGTCCTCACTAATTATCATGGTTTGGTTGCTACGCCAAACAATCAGCAGAACTGCTGTGGAATCTATTTTTTGTCTCACCAACATCCATCTTCACATCCAAATATCCCTAACCGGCCATAAGCCTCTTCACGATTATAAGCAAATTTGTGGGAGCAGCCAATCAGCCTGATGCTTACTTTTAAGCTTGCATTCAGCCTTTGCTCTACTCTGCACTTGTGCATTAGCTGTTCAACTTGAAATACACAGTTCTTAGCACCATTTAAGGGTTATAAACAGTGTTTGACACCATTCATGTCAGATCTTTAAGAGAATTTGGCAAGAAGTTTCGGTATTTCCACATTCAACGGATCTCACGACAGAAAAATGACTGACAGCTCAAAGCCTTGCTGCTATCTGACACTTTGTCAGTTGAACTTTCAGACACAAATAAACCTCCCTTTTTGGCAAATCCTTGTAACTATACAAAAAGGTGTTGTTATGATACATGTGATTTGGATAAGAGGTATCCAGAGTGGCTCGTTATTAAGTTTCGTTCAATCCCTTCCTGAAATCAGCCAGTAATCTTGAAGAATGCAAGCGTTGTTTTAGACTTCTTGTTAATTTGTTATTTTTACACTTGCGTGATTCTGTGATGTGTTCTCTATTAAATAAAAAGACTACAGTAGTTTTCATTAACACTAGATGCAATTTAGGCAATTACATGGAATTTTATATGGCAGCATTTTCCCATAGAAAACCATTCTAAAGAAATGCTTAATATGGCATGTATTAAAACCAAATTCAGTATTCCTCTTATTAATAAAACATACTATATACAAGCAAGCAGATGAACACAGAGTATGAACACAATGTGCAAAGTGTCACGTTAAGTGTTTTCCCATAGAAAACCATTATAAATAAAGTACTGAATACAATTTAATACAGTTTAGCACATTGCGTTCATATTCCGGGTTCTTCATCTTTTATTTATATAATATGCATCATCAATAAGGTGTATATTCTGATTTTGATCTTTTAAAATCACTGTATGAGAATATTAAGCATACCCTCCCCGCCCCCCGGATTCTCTATTTTATGATTTAATACAAATTTATTAAAAATGTGTCTAATTAAATTAATTAATATTTATAATAACTTTTTTTTATAACTTTATTTATTAGAATTTTTCTTGAATACAGTATATGCAAACCTTACATATATTTAGAATAACTTAAATAAAATTAATTAAAAAAATTAATCAATATTTTAAAATGTAAAACGATTAATTTTGACACCATTCATGTCAGATCTTTAAGAGAATTTGGCAAGAAGTTTCGGTATTTCCACATTCAACGGATCTCACGACAGAAAAATGACTGACAGCTCAAAGCCTTGCTGCTATCTGACACTTTGTCAGTTGAACTTTCAGACACAAATAAACCTCCCTTTTTGGCAAATCCTTGTAACTATACAAAAAGGTGTTGTTATGATACATGTGATTTGGATAAGAGGTATCCAGAGTGGCTCGTTATTAAGTTTCGTTCAATCCCTTCCTGAAATCAGCCAGTAATCTTGAAGAATGCAAGCGTTGTTTTAGACTTCTTGTTAATTTGTTATTTTTACACTTGCGTGATTCTGTGATGTGTTCTCTATTAAATAAAAAGACTACAGTAGTTTTCATTAACACTAGATGCAATTTAGGCAATTACATGGAATTTTATATGGCAGCATTTTCCCATAGAAAACCATTCTAAAGAAATGCTTAATATGGCATGTATTAAAACCAAATTCAGTATTCCTCTTATTAATAAAACATACTATATACAAGCAAGCAGATGAACACAGAGTATGAACGCAATGTGCAAAGTGTCACGTTAAGTGTTTTCCCATAGAAAACCATTATAAATAAAGTACTGAATACAATTTAATACAGTTTAGCACATTGCGTTCATATTCCGGGTTCTTCATCTTTTATTTATATAATATGCATCATCAATAAGGTGTATATTCTGATTTTGATCTTTTAAAATCACTGTATGAGAATATTAAGCATACCCTCCCCGCCCCCCGGATTCTCTATTTTATGATTTAATACAAATTTATTAAAAATGTGTCTAATTAAATTAATTAATATTTATAATAACTTTTTTTTATAACTTTATTTATTAGAATTTTTCTTGAATACAGTATATGCAAACCTTACATATATTTAGAATAACTTAAATAAAATTAATTTAAAAAATTTATCAATATTTTAAAATGTAAAACAATTAATTTACAACAAAACATCACTTTTTTTTTTTTATTATTGCGTGTTTTATGATTT